TGATGGCGGCAACTACACCTGATTGTACAAGCTCCTCGGCATGTAGAAGGCGGGCGGTGGCCGCGGCGTAGCAGTAGCAGTAGTTTGCATGTTTAGGCGTAGTTTAGGCGTACTTTTGCATGTTTGTATAAATTTCTACGAATTATCGCCGAGTTTGTGCCAGGTCGCCGAGTTTGCGCAAATTTGCATGAAAATTCGCCTAGTTTGCGCGTTTCTTGGGGCGGCATTGGGTCGACGACCGGGAACGCAATCGCCCCCAACGCGTGAACAAACGCCGGTTTGCCCCTAGGCGGCTCTTTTTGGGCGTCCTAGGGGCCGAACGGCTGGAGATGCTCTAATGAATTAGGGGAAGGAGGAGTAGTGACCATCACCGACAGTCGAAATATTAGTGAGGGAGTGCCCATCATATACATCACCAAATATGAGAGTTGTTCAAGGAAAGACTCGACAGACCGAAAGTCAACCCATGCTGAATAGCAACCTGTGTGTTGACTTTCTAGAATTTTCCGTCGATTTTTAATACTCCCTCCATTTTTATATACAAGGCCACAAACTCATATTACAGGTACCAAGGTAAAATTTAATGCATACTTTGTAAGTCAATCTCTTCTTTCATTTACTGGGGTTATTAATACGCAACATGCATGCAAGAAAACGGAGTGGAGGAAATAGCTAGTATTATTATGACGACATGCATGCAAGTATTAAATGGTTACTAGTACGAGAAAATATAATTAATTCTTTCCTCGATTATTGTCGGTGGCCTTATATAAATGCAAAACGTATATCTTATAGTGGCCTTGTATAAGTAAATGAAGGGAGTATTTCAGTTATAAGCACATCAGATGGATGACGATGTCCTCTCTATTCTACAATATGCAGATGATATGATTATTTTTATCGAACATAACCTGGATATGGGCTTGAAATCTAAGACTTTTGCTTCAGTATTTGAGCAAATGTCTAGCCTTCAATTTATTTTTATAAAAGCGAACTGTTCTGTTTTGAAGAAGCCAGTGAGGCGGCGACCGCTTACACCGACCTATTTGCTTGTAGGCAAGGCCATTTTCCGATTAAATATTTCAGAATTTTGATTCATCATAGGCGTCTCATTGATATGAAGTGAAAACATGTAGAGAAGTGATTAGAAAGCAAAAGTTATTTTAATATTAAAAACACAAATCCATTTCACTCCCTGCGTAAAGAAATACAGAGGGAGTATTTGTGAACCGAAAAGTAACAGGTTTTTGTTAAAAAAAGTACTCTCTTCGTTCCTAAATGTGAGTCTTTGTAGAGATTTCACTATAAACCATATACAAATGTATATAAATGCATTTTAATGTGTAGATTCATTTATTTTGCTCCGTATTTAGTTCATAATGAAATCTCTACAAAGATTTATATTTAAGAACAGACGGAGTATCAATTATGGCTCTAAACCTTTCCAAATCTAAAGATTCTCCGAATATCCGGTGCTCTTCCAAATCCAAACCCAAACCCCAAATCATCCATCTCCTCACGAAAATTCAAGAGAAGATAGTAGCAGCGGCATGGATTCGATTCGCCGTCGGAGCGCGCGGATTCGAAATCTCCGGGGCGACGCGCATGGGGCCGAGCTGGGGGTTGGCTCCTCTTCTGGGAACGGTTTCTGTAGTCCCCAACGCCGCCGCCGTCGCCGCTTGGTGCGCGGTGCCTCCGGAGCCAGAGTGCAGAGCCCCGCCGTCGAGCGGCAGCCTTGGGGCGCGCGGTTCGAACCCTCGAAGCAGGGGAGGGAGGGGGTTGGTGGCGGAGACTGTGGCTGCTTCGACCGGCGGCGACCCCTAAGGACCTCCCAGGTTCGACCTCTCCCCTCCACTGCTCTCTGCATTTTTGAAATGCGCCTAGTAGTAGTACTAATTATAACAGTTGTTAATCCTGTCATCATCTCTGTAATGTCTAGCCAGTGCTGAGCCCCACTGTTAATTTAACTAATAATCTTATTAATACTCTTAGCACAGATTAACAACTGTTAATCCTATGAGCCTCGCTGTAAAGCCTAGCTAGTGATGAGTCCCGCTGTTAACTGAACCAATATGCAGTGCGTTCAGATGGCCTTGGCAAGTCTTGTCTTGGTTAAAAAAGGAACAGCCTTCCATCATCTATCTAAACATTATTAACAGTTACAAATCCTAGCTAGCAAGTACTCCCTCCATATATAAAGAAATACTACTCTATAAGAGTAGAGTAGTGATCTAAACGCTCTTATATTGCTTTACAGAGGGAGCAGTAATGAGTCCTTGAACTAACAGTATGCGACGCGATCCTGGGTGCTGAACAGAACACATGCCTCACACATGCCCCGACAAACCACAACGGACCTGTACGTAGATCGATATATTCTTTTCAGTAGCGGACATCTATCAGCATCGAAATCCTATGCGCTTTCACTATAATTTAAGCCCTGATGCTTGGTTGTTTCAGGAACAAGGAACTTAATTAAGCGAGTGATGTTGTCTTCTTGCTTGTAGCAGCCCATCGAAGAGTGTGATGAGGCATCGCCTTGTAACGAGAGCCTGGTGCAGAATTAACTAAAGAGTCCTGCTGTTAAAACTAATATGCAATGCAACGGAGGACTGACAAATCTTGATTAAGAATCAAAGTTGTTGAAACGATTGAGGTTGCTGAGTAAACTTCCATTATATCTGTCTAATAACAGGACCTGGGGGCCTGAGACTTCGCATCTCAGATCCATCCACACGCAAACGCCCACAGGAGAAAGAGAGAAGAGAGATTGGTACTGATGGAGCTCACAACAGTGAGCATCGGCAAATCCGTGCTGAATGGAGCGCTTGGGTATGCCAAATCCGCCGTCGCGGAGGAGGTGGCCCTGCAGCTGGGAGTCCAGCGCGACAAGGCCTTCATCACGGACGAGCTGGAGATGATGCAATCTTTCCTGATGGTTGCGCATGATGAGCGGGACGAGAATAACAAGGTGGTCAGGACCTGGGTGAAGCAGGTGCGCGACGTCGCCTACGACGTCGAGGATGGCATCCAGGATTTTGTCGTTCGTCTGAAGAAGAAGAAGTCTTGGTGGCATATCCCCCGCACGCTCCTCGATCGACGCCATGGTGCCAAGCAGATGAAGGAGCTAAGGACCAAGGTTGAGCACGTGAGCCAAAGGAACCTGCACTACGGCCTCATCAAGGGCTCTAGCTCCACCCAGCCTACTGCTACTGCTGCTGCTGCTGCTCTGTTTGGCGTTGATGAAGCAAGGCATGCCGCGAAGCAACACCAAGCAAGATCAGATCTTTCCCGACTGATCAACCAGGAGGGTGCAAGGATTTGGATCCCAAGTGCACATTTTTTCTCGCGGGCCACCGAAATTCTCGGTTACCGCGGTAACCGTGAAATCCCGGAAAAAATTCGGACGAATTTTGAATTTGAATTTTGAATTCAATTTTTTTTAATATTGTATAGATTAGTTCTGGACTCAATTTTGTCACCAGCAGCAGCCTGGCGCAGTGGTTAGATCATTTATGTATAACAATTTCCTCGAGGTTGCAAGATCGAATCGCCACGGCAACAATTATTTTCACAGCTTCTTTCTTTTATCATAAAAATTGTTTAAAAAAAACGAGCAGCTATGGGAGTCGAGATCAAGACCTCAGAAAAGCTAGGAAGGAAACACTGACCACTACGCCACAGCTCGCTGTCTGTTTGGAACGAGTTCCTAAAGTATCTAACCTAAGTACCAGAGTTTAAATTCAAAAAATTCGAAAAAATTCAAAAGAATTCGCTCGGTATGTAGGTTTCTCGTGGGGTGGCGAGAAACGCGGTAACCGGGCGGTATCCGAATATTCCGCCCGGTACCCAAAACCATGGGAGGGTGAGAACCAAATCAGAGTGATCGGTGTATGGGGAACAAGTAGCAGCGTTGGGCATACCTCCATCATCTGGGAGGTCTACGAGAATCCAATCGTCAAACTGAATTTTCAGTGCCGAGCATGGGTCAGGGTGATGCGCCCTTTCCATCCAACAGAATTTGTCCAGAGCATGGTGAAACAGTTTCAAGCCGCAGTAGGAGTTAGTGTTCTGCTGGAGGGCAAAAGGAAGGAGCAAGATTTGGTTCAGGCATTTAATGGATATGTCAATGAGAAGAGGTACCTGATTGTGCTTACTGACCTGTCCACAATTGAAGAATGGCACCAGATCAAGACTTGCTTCCCTGAGAACAAACTTGAAATACCAAAGCTTTCCTGCTCGTCGGCTAGTGAGGCTTGGCAATCTGTCTCCTTGAGCCTTCATGGCGGGGGTGTAAATATGGATATTCCATCTTACAAATAAACACTATGTTGCAATGCTTTGGTAAAAGTGGCATCTCAAGGATTTGTATTTGTCAGTTGCTCATGGTGTTCATACCATGCTGAGGGCTAAGGTTTTCAATACTTTATGTTCTCTTCTAGTACCAATCAACTTTTGATGTAATTCATGAATAATTTGTGCTTCTTTTTTTTGCCTTTTAAACTTCTAGACTACTTTCATTATTTCTGGCGAAGTCCAGTCTGACCAGGTCATCCTAGCTAAATTAACTTGTATACATACAATTTGAGCATGATGTACTATTTCTGGTTTGCTGTCACATCAACATTCTTGTATAGATATAGACAAGCTTGAGCTTACCCTTCAGTATTCCTTTTGAGTATCCATCATTAAAAAATTATCTAACTATTGTTTAATTGTGTTCAGACAAGCTTGAGCTTACCCTTCAGTATTCCTTTTGAGTATCCATCATTAAAAAATTATCTAACTATTGTTTAATTGTGTTCAGACAAGCTTGAGCTTACCCTTCAGTATTCCTTTTGAGTATCCATCATTAAAAAATTATCTAACTATTGTTTAATTGTGTTCAGAGATCTCATGACGTTATATATCCATCAAAGCCAGAATCTAGCACAAAGTTATCCAACATCCCTGAGAATAAGATACAAGAAGATCAATCCAATGCTGATGTTGATGGAAATATGACAGTGCAAAAGAGGTTCACACGCACCTACACAATGGCAGGTGTTCTGGAGGAATTTCAGCTTATTGGGCGAGAGAAAGAAAAATCTGATATTATTGCACTAATTAAAGAACAAGCTAGCACCCATCAGTTTGAGGTGATAGTAGTATGGGGAATGGGTGGTCTTGGAAAAACCACTCTGATAAAAAATGTTTTCCAGAGCAAAGATGTCACTGGCATGTTTGGGAAATATGCTTTTGTCACAGTCTTGCGACCTTTCAAGCTTGAGGAACTCCTTAGGAGCTTGGCATTGCAACTAGATGCAAACAAGGGATCCATGGACTTTGTAGGTGACACTCAAAAAAACATTGCTTTGATGGGAGTTGCAGAGTTGATTGAAGTGTTGGGTAGACGTTCAGAAGGAAAGACTTGTTTGATTGTTCTTGATGACCTCTCATCTATCGCAGAATGGGACAAAATGTTGCCATGTTTAAATGCAATCAAAAATCCGTTCATCGTGATCACCACAAGGCGAGAGGATATTGCTAAGCATTGTTGCAAAAAACCAATGTGCATACGCTTGCTCAACGGTCTTGAAGAAAAGGATGCAAGTAAGTTGTTCACAAGAAAGGTTAGCAAAAAAATATTATTTCTTTTTATCTCTGTTCAGTTTTTTGTTTTGAATGATCGTTTCAAATTAGTACTGCCTCTGTCCCAAAATAAGTGTCTCAACAAAGTTGTACTAAAGTTGACACACTTATTCTTGGGACAGAGGGAGTATATCATAAGCACATCTCAATCAACCATCCTTGGAAGAGATAACTCAAAGTGGGTTGCAAAAACATAAGATTAGGCAACCATGACTCATGTTGTACACGCATCATTCACAAATGATATAGTTTCAACTGTTTTAGCAATCAAACCAAAGAACTGATTACAACACACATTGCTCGGGTTAGAACAGGTTAGTGTTAGCAGCAAGCCAACAATATTCCATGAACTCACCAGTAACAAATTATACATGATTCACTTTTTTCGAGTAACTGGCAGGTGCTCTGCATTTTTATTAAGCAGAATAAGAACTGACCAGTTTACTTGGAAAACTAGCCAAAAGCCGATACAACGACACACACAAACAAGGAGGGGAATGATGTCTGTGTGCACTGTCTTCTGTGCCAACCAAAGCAGAGCTGAGTATTCACCTCGAGCTCTAGTGTTCCCACAACCGTTGCCCACCAACGACATGCCGTGCGACATGTCGCTGTTGCCATCCACCACTTCCAACGCATCACCACTTGGTGCCCTGCCGCCCACACCCACACGACCAGCGACTGGCACTGCAATCACATCATCCCAGAGCCGCCTCTTTTGCTTCCATGTGTGCAGCAAAATAAGCCTCCAAGCAAGTTGAGGCTGGCCCAGCCTGATCTGGAGCTGCTGCTCCAGAACAGAGCCACATGATGCTGCCCCGTTGCTGCCACCCGTCAACTTGGACGGCACATTTTTTTGTCAATTCGTGGTGAATCACTTCTTTTCATGATTTTTTTTCCTCACATTGTCAATTCCTTTTACCCCAGATGAAAATAGTGATAAATCCAATGCATTCTCATGCCCTTTTTTTGGAAATCTCTCACTTAAAATTGTTCGGTTGATGTATTGACCAATTTATTAGCATGGAGACTGTGACAAACAATTGTATCCTAATTATTTTTGGTCAATCTTCTTATTTCATTTTGTTGAGACACCATGATCACATTCGTAGTTTGGTAGATCAATACTTATTACCGTGATTAGCATTTTACCATCTGATTGTACTCATTTTTGGACGAGATTAATCTGTCTGCTAGTTACTTAATGTGGTTCATCTTGAGGCTTGAGTGATACTTTGGAAATGTTAACGATTCTAGAATTTTAGAAGCAATATTTAATCATGACCTTGAGTATGCTGTAGAAATGTTATGAGTCTACAATTCTACAAGCAATATTTAATCATGAAAAAATAGATAATTCAGTTGGTGTTCGTGAAGAAAATATCAGTGTTGATTCCATTGTTTTGTCGCTGATATGCTTTTAGTATATTAAATTGTAAACTTAATGTAGTTTTTTTTAGAACGAAGACGCTAGGAGCGTCCGGCTTTAAATTAATAAAGCCCACACGACAGGCAGAGTAGCAACCGTTCGAACATTACACAAACCAAAAACCCAAGGCGCAACGAGATAAAGAGTCTGGAGGGTTCAAAGCCGGGCAGCGAGCAAGTTACAAGGCCAAAAGGCGGCTCGCAACACAAAAGAGCACTCCCACCCTAGGCAGGCATCGCCGGCTCCCTAGCCGCCACGTACCCTTGGTGAATTCATTCTTGCGCGTGCTTCACGATCTCAGAGTCCTTCCGCTTCACCAATGGACTCCACTGCTGCATGAGGATAGAGCATTTGTATATGATGTTAGCTGGGTGCGACGGGAGAGTGCCCTCAATGGTAACTTTATTGTGAGTGAGCCATAAGGACCATAACAACGCCCCTATACTAGTCCACAACACACGCTTGCTCTGTCCGACCGAATCAAGTAGCCCTACAAGTTTAGAAGAGGACCGCGGGTCCCAGTGGACGCCAGCCGCCTCGCGCACAGCGCTCCAGGCGAACCTTGCAAGTGGGCATAGAAAGAAAACATGGTTTGCGTTCTCGGGGTTCCCACATACCGCGTACGGACCCATCACCGGACCGTTTCGTTTAGCTATGTTGATAGACGTAGGGGGCCGATCTTGGAACATTTGCCAAGGAAAAACTTTGATCTTCAGCGGAATGCGGGCTTGCCAGAGTCCTTTAGCCTCCCTCTGTGCCGTCCCTTGGCACAATTTGTGATATAAAGACTTGACGAAAAACTTTCCGGAGGCGTTTACATGCCATGACACCCTGTCAGGCTCATTGGACAAGGCAACGTGGTTCACCCGATCCAGCAAAGCGCCCAGACTCACTGTCTCCTGGGTGTTTAGGTTACGGCAGAAGGAAATTGCTGGGGGGAGGGGGGAGAGAAGCCAAGGCATTTGCCACCCGTAAATTTGGATGCACCGCAATTGCATACAGGTCTGGAATCCCTCCCAGAGAGGCCGAGGGCCCACCCAGAAGTCGAGCCAGAAAAGGATGGAATGGCCGTTTCCAACAGCGAATTTGGCCCCTTGGTCGAAGGCTGGTCTGATTGCCTGCAAATTATTCCAGAAAGGGGAGCCCCTCGTGTCCCCTTCGAAAAAAAATCTTGTTTGGAAAGTATTTCGCCCTAAGGATGTCAGCCCATAAGCCAGCCGCCCCTTGCGACAGCTTCTAGATCCACTTGCACATCAGCGCGATGTTTTGGAGTGTGGTGTTTGTGATTCCTAGTCCTCCAAAGGACTTGGGCCAACACACCGCAGCCCATTTGACCATATGGTACTTGCGTTTGAGGCCCGTTCCTTCTCAAAAGAAACGGGCTCTCGGCATGTCCATTTTAGCATGGACCCCTTCCGCTAACAGGAAAAGACCCATGGCGAACATGGGAAGCAAGGAGAGGCTAGAGTTGGTCAGGACAAGTCTTGCCGCGGAGGACATGAACTTGCCGCGCCAGGGGCTCATTTTTCTCCCCACTTTGCCAGATAGGGGTGCCCAATCATTGATTGTCAATCGCCGAGGCGCTAGGGGCAGGCCTAGGTACGTGAAGGGGAATTTTCCCACTTTACAGTTGAGGAGGTCTGTGATGCGACGTCCCTCCTCACTATCTACCCCCATAGATAGCACTTCACACTTGTGAAAGTTGATTTTGAGCCCCGGCATCAATTCAAAACTCAGTAGTAATGCCTTAACCGTCACGATACTATGAGTATCTGATTGGAACAGTAGCAGGGTGTCGTCTGCGTACTGCAAGTGAGATATCCCCCTTGGAATAAGATGGCCGACCACTCCCTTGATGTGGCCAGCCGAGGTGGCTTTCCGCAACATAGCCGCGAGGGCATCCACCACAAAGTTGAACAAGATCGGAGACATTGGGTCACCCTGACGCAGCCCCCGTATGTTCCGGAAGAAGTTTCCAACTTCCCCGTTAACCCAGATAGCAGTCTGGCCCCCCGAGACCAGTTGCATTTCACTCGGTGGACCCACATGGCCGAGAAACCACGGCTCAGAAGAACCTGCCACAAAAAGTTCCAATTAACTCGATCGTACGCCTTTTTGAAGTCTAATTTTAGAAGGATGGCCGGTTCCCTAGTGCGTCTGAGTTCGTGGATGATCTCTTGCAGGACAAGAGTTCCCTCAAGGATGTTGCGACCGCGGATAAAAGCAGTTTGGGTGCGGCTAATAGTACGGTGCGCTATCGGGACTAGGCGGGAGTTGGTCGCTTTGGAACAAATCTTAAACGGGACATTAATTAACACGATAGGCCTAAATTGTCGAATATTATCAGCTCCTACCACCTTGGGAATAAGCGATAGGACGCCAAAATTGAGCCGAGTGATATCTACCGTTCCGCATGAAGCCATTGCACACCTCAAATATAGGTCCCCGATGGAGCGACCAGAAGTGTTTAAACATGGCCACTGGCCATCCATCTGGGCCGGGCGCGGTGTCGGTTTTCATGCTCCCCGGAGCAGCATCAATCTCCTCGGGCAAAAAGGCAAGCCCCAGCTCCTCATTTTCCTGTTCGGTAACGAGCTGGGATGGCTCCCACAGGTCAGGCACAACCCTGCCCGCTGCTCCTCACTCGTACCCATCAGTTGGATATAGAAGTCGTAGACATGACGCACTATATCCGCCTAGGCTAGCAGTAACCCCTGTTTGGATTGCAGCCGGAGAATCGCACATCTCCGTCGTCTCCCGTAGCGTAGGCATGGAAGTATTTCGTGTCGGCATCGCCTTTAAGTACCCACTTAAGGCCACCACGACGCCGCCAGTACTCCTCTTCCGTGTGGAGCAAGGAACTGAACCTGATCCTCCAGCGCGTAACGTTGGGCCCATTCTTGTTCAAAAAAGGTTGCTCGTTAGCTTGTTCATCAAGATTCGCTATCTCTGCGAGGATACTCTCCCTGAGCACCTTTTCCTGACGACCCAAATTGGCCCCCCAACCCTTGAGGCAAGCCCGCAGGCGGCCCCCAACCGCGTTCCAAAATTCCATGGGTCCCCGTTGGATACCCAGCTGGCTAACGCAATGGATCCACTTCGCCCTGAAGATGGAGTCAAACTCGGGAATTTCGAACCAAGCCGTCTCGAAGAAGAACTGTTGGCTTCGACGAATCCTGTCCTTCCCTGAGGTGAGGATAAGCGGGACGTGGTCTGACCCGATCCTGGTCTCTGCTACGAGCGAGCACAATGGGTACAAAATTTCCCAGTCGGGCGAGATAAACACCCTGTCCAACACGGAGCACACCGGGGCCAACTGCTTGTTGGTCCAAGTGTACCGTGCCTCAGACCTAGCCACCTCCCGAAGAGCCATAGTGGCAATGACGTTATTAAACATGGCCACCCTTGGCCAGTTAATATTGCTGTTGTTTTTGTCTGTTCCCGAGCGGATCAGATTAAAATCCCACCAACTAATAGCGGGATTAGCGACGCGCCCACCGTGAGCACCTTGGTTTGCCATTCGCCCAAGAATTCGGCCGATCTCGAGTGATCTGCCGGTCCGTAGACCTGGATCACCACCAGCTCCCTCTGAGACTGACGGTGGCGAATGTGCCCAGCCAGAAAAAAGGTGCCCGCATCCCAGGCTAGCACCTCGTAAACGGCTTGGTCAAAACCTAACAACATGCCCCCCGAGTGCTCAGTCGCTGCTAGGTGGTTCCAAGTGAACCTCTCCAGGGGGTCGATGGCGAGCAGCTCATGATGCCGGAAATCTAATTTAATCGTCTCCTGGAAGCCAACGATGTCTATTCCCTCCTTCTGCATATATTCCTTCAGCTGGGATCGGCGACCCACATGGCCGAAATCACGAATGTTTCAAAAGATCGCGCGCATCTAAATGATGCGATTGTGAAGGCGAATGCCCCTAGAGGACACTGCCTTGGTCACGCGCCTCACCTTGGCTCTGCCAGGCGAGGGAGGGGAGGCAACCCCTGTTGCCAACTCCACCTCTTCGGACCGGACCGCGAGTGCCTGAGAGGCCCCTGCCTCCTGCACCAGCTGGTCAGCGCGCGCCGCAGCGCAGCCTGCGCCTGTTCTTTCGTGAAAACTTAATGTATTTAAATGTTAATAATCATCATCAGCGCCATACCGGCCCATGTCCCACATTTGTCCTTCCCATTGATGTGAACTACACGTGATGCCTACATTTCTTGTTTTATGGACCCTTCTGTGCCGATGGTGGGTCCATGAACTGTGTGAACTACAAAATACAGTCCAGATACTGATGGGAATATGATCTCAATGCGAGCGAGCGGCTGTGATAATGGAGCTACCTGTCGCTCGGGCCTTAAAGAGTGGTTTCATTGTTACATAGCCAACATGTGTACTCGCCACCCAAACTGGGGCATGCTAGCTATTAAATAAACTAGGAAAAGTGGTTTGGATGCGCCTAATTCATTTATAGTAAAAGAAACTAATTGTATTTTCCATAATTGCAGGTATTTAAGAATAGGACTACTGATTTGGCTGAGCAATATCCTGCGTTGGTTGAACCAGCAAAACTAATCCTAAAGAAGTGCAATGGACTTCCCCTTGCGATAGTCACCATCGGTGGCTTCTTGGCTGATCAACCAACAAAAACTGCTGTAGAGTGGAGGAAACTGAATGAGCATATCAGTGTTGAGCTGGAGATGAATCCAAAATTGGAGGCCATAAAAACAGTCCTTATGAAAAGTTATGATGGCCTACCCTATTACCTCAAACCTTGTTTCCTGTACATGTCCATCTTTCCTGAAGACCGCAATGTTAGCCAGAGACGTTTGGCTTACCGATGGATTGCTGAAGGTTATGCACGAGACAAGGCCACAACAGATAGATACTTCATGGAACTCATAGAGAGAAGCATGATATTACCAACTCAGCAATCAGTTTGCAGCATACAAGGATTCGACTCGTGCCAGCTACACGATCTGATTCGTGATATCAGCATTGCAGAGTCTTTGGAGGAAAATCTTCTTTTCAGGTTGGAGGAAGGCTGCAGCTTGAACACCCACGGTGCAGTGCGTCACCTTGCCATAAGCAGCAACTGGGAGGGAGATGAGCATGAGTTGGAGAGCACTGTGGAGCTGTCCCGCATACGGTCATTGACGGTGTTTGGCAAGTGTAGGCCATTTTACATTTCTGACAAGATGAGGTTTCTTCGGGTGCTGGACCTGGAAGGAACAGATGGGTTAACGAATCATCACCTTGAGCACATTGGGGAGTTCCTTCATCTGAGATACCTCTCTCTACGAGGGTGTGATCACATCTATTACCTCCCAGATTCTGTGGGTAATCTGAGACAACTTGAGACACTAGACATCAAAGGGACGGGTATAGGTATGTTGCCCAGAACCACCATCAAGCTTAGTAAGCTATGTTATCTCTATGCTGGCAGCGGTTTAGGGGATAACGAGGGAAATTGTTTTTCAAAGTGTAAACGCATTTGTGAAATGCAAAGTCGTTTATGTGTAGCATGCTGCTCACTGGATTTTTCAAAAATGAGTGGTTTTGGCAGGTGTGAGGCTTGCCATCTTGCTTGCTGCATAATGAACCCTAATATCATTAGGGGTATAGCTGATTCTGGTGTTAAGGTGCCAAGAGGGACCAGGAAACTGAAGGCCCTGCGTACACTGCGGTATGTTCATCTTGCCTGGGGAAATGTCATTGTAAAAGAGATAAAAGGTCTCACTAGCCTGCAGAAGCTAGGAGTGGTCGGTATCAACAAGAAAAATGGTCCAGGTTTCTGTTCGGCCATTTCCAGCCTTAGCCATCTTGAATCATTGTCAGTGCGGACAGGGCATATCCTAAATTTTGGAAAAGGAGGGGATAGCCTAAATGGCTGTTTAGATGACATGTCCACAGCTCCGGAAAACCTGCAGAGCCTCAAGCTATCCGGCAGCCTGGAAAAATTGCCGGAATGGATCAAGGGGCTCCAAAATCTAGTGAAGCTCAAGTTAGAACTCAGCAGGCTATCAGGGAACCTTGAAACCATGCAAGTCCTTGGGAACCTACCAAACCTATCCATTCTGGGTTTGTGGGATAGCTATTTCAATATCGATGTACTCCAGTTTCAGACTGGCCTTTTCAGAAGGCTCACGGTCCTTGATCTTTTTTACACAAGGATGAAAATTAGATTAGTGGAGTTTGAGGAAGAATCGATGCCCAGTCTTGAGATGCTGACCCTTAGCCTTGGAGATACTGAAGCTGCCTTCTCTGGGCTAGAACTTCTCCAAAGCATCAAGGAAGTACGGCTTAGTTTTCATTATATCAGGTTTACACCCAAATCATCAAAAACGGGGGGGATCGAAAGATTGGACAAAGGAGAGTATGAATGGATGAAGGAAAAAGATAGGAGAAACAAACCCAAGCAAGATAAAGTCAGGGAGGAGTTGCAGATGCAGCTTGATAGGAATAATAATAAGAATCGGCCAGTCTTGAAGGTGCAATGAGCTCAGAAACCTGGGGCTATTTCTGTGCTAAATATCCTGACTAAGTGTCTGCCATGCCATGCTGTTGGAGTATATATCTTTTATCTACTCTCTTGTTTTATCTCTTGCATTCCTTGTTATATTGTGTTAATGGATTGAAATAAAGCCGACGCGAGTCAAGGGCACTGTTGTTCTGCGGCTGTTAGTGTTAGAGTTGGCTTTTCTTTAGCTGCTTTGGGTATCTCTTTGATTTTCTGAAGAATGACTAGCCACGGCAATGTATGATGCTCTGTATCTGTATTATGTTCTGGCGATGTGTGTGCACCATTGCCGAGCTGCTTAATAAGGGTATGATGATATCTTTGGCGATTGTAAACTGTTTGGATTAGATGGAAAAAATACTACTAGGTTGTATCATATGCTACGCTTGTAACCCTTTTATTTATTTTGCCCTTGGTGGTCAGGATGCCATTTCTGCTTTGGGGCTCTGCTTCGATTTGGCGAAGAATGAGCCGGCACTGCAGTGCAAGATGCTCTGTATCTGTAATTCTGTATGTTCGGGCCGGAGATGTGTATATACCATTGTTGGGTGGGCTGTTGTGATAAGGCGGCAGTAATATCTTTGGTAGTTGTAAACTGTTTGGATTAGATGCAGAGAACTCGTCAGTGTTTTGCATCGATCATATTCCTTTTCTTCTGACCTCCTTGGTGATCATCGTGTCAGTCTCTCGGCTCTGTCTTTCACCTGTCAGCAGAAATGCAGAATGAATCGATGTAACCACATATGATCTAGGAGTGTAGTGCTCAAGCGAAGAGACTGTAGTTAACCGGCCTACTAATAGTTACTAGTTCCTTCGTTACGCTCATTTCTTTCACTCGTTTGCTTTTATTCCTTTGTTTTCTTACTGTTATTTAAAATTTCTAAACAGAAACTCGTTTACTTTATCTTTTTAAAAAGGTTCACTGTGCATTTATAAGATGCACACTCCGCAATGCTAGTTGGAACTCCTAGCAAATATACAGGAACGGCACGCCGCTCGGGTTGCAACCGGCTTGCCTCCGGACACTCTAGAGCAGGATGAGCGTGAAGCACCGGAGCATGAGGACGACGACGAGGAGGAGGATGCGAAACAGGGGGCACCAGACATGGAGATGAAGGACTCGTAGATGGAGGACGAGGAAGGCGAGGCGGATCCGGCACCTCCTGCTGTCGGACTCAACACCTTAAGCACATTAGGGAGCTTCTTCATCTCAAATACCTCTCCCTAAGAGGATGTTGCAATATCTATAACCTCCCAGATTCGGTAGGTAACCTAAGACAACTCGAGACACTAGACATCAAACAGACAAGTATAACAATGCTGCCCAAAAACATCATCAAGCTAAGTAAGCTATCTTATCTCCATGCTGGTAGCAATTACACAGGGAGGAAGATAAAGATTGTCTTACAAAGTGTCTAGAAATTTTGGAGTTGCAATGGGAGTTATGTCCATTTTGTTGCTTATGTGAGCAGTTAGACATGGATGACTTCAGCAGGCATGATATTTGCACTATTGGCTGCTGCATAATGTTCCCTAATATCATTACGGGTCTAGATGAGTATTGTGTTAAGGTGCCAAGAGGGACCAGGAAACTGAAAGCCCTGCATACACTGCGGTATGTGCACCTAGCCTGGGGAAATACCATTATCAAAGAGATAAAAGGCCTCACCAGCCTGCGGAAGCTAGGAGTGGTCGGAATCAACAAGATAAATGGTCCGGAGTTCTGTTCAGCCATTTCCAATCTCAGACTCCTTGAATCCTTGTCAGTGCAGTCAGGTAAGAGCTTAACTGGTTGTTTGGATGGCATATCCACAGCTCCAAAAAATTTCCAGAGCGTCAAGCTGTCCGGAAGCCTGGAGGAATCGAAAATATATTTTAGAGCACCTGCACCCCGGCCCGCTTATCTGATACGTCCATATACCTAGGGATATGTGTCAGCCGTTTCCGTAAGATTGCCAAATCAGGTTATATCGATTGTTTACCTTCGACCGTGACACGCCAAGGCGGCCCATGACTCTGATCCAGGGGTCATCGTAGGCAGACTGGCAGAGCATGGAGACAAATCTGAGCGGGAGGTAAGGACAGATACTATCGGATACTGCCGCAGGCGGCCCGTGACTCTGGTCCATCTGCATCCCTCCTTCCCCAAGAGCGTACTAGCTAGGCGGCGTGGGAGGCGGATTCATTTGAGATTGAACATGGAGAGAACCCCAATCTGAGCGGAGACGGGAGTTTCTGGGACAAGAGGAGGCGCCGAACCAGCGGCAGGTCCCGGCCAGCGGCACTGGCACGAGTTTCGCCGCCGGTGCTATCCAGCGCCGGGGCACACGGCGCACCGCCGCAGATGACATCCCGCGCCGTCGGGTATTGCTCGGATCCACCACAAGTAAATATGTGATTTAAGGAATGCGCATAGGCATTTTTGCTGTCGGGACCAGAGTAGGCGAATACCCCAAAATCCAAGCATGGAGTGCTTTCCGATCTGGAGTGCTTTCCCCAAATCGTTGTTTGGTTTTGGGCGAATATCCCAAGGATGATTAGCTCTGGATGTCTCTGTTTTACAGGTCAAACTAGGCACGAAGTTGTAAATTTGTGTATGGCTGAAAGACCGTCCTGAGTAATGAAATCTCCCTATTTTTCGCAAAAAAAAAACAGATCAAACTAGGCACGGGGTTGCAACAGCAATATCTGTCTGATGTTCATAACTTCATATTTCGCCGTCATCATGCAGGTAAAATGACATGCATGCATAATCTCATCTTTCGTTTTGTTCTTCTGGAAGCAGCCGTCGAAGATCATCGTGGCCAGGAACCGGTCCCTGCCCCCACCGTCGCCGTCGGCACGCCACTCGCTGTCGAGGTCAAGGTACGCGCCCTCGAGCTCCTCGGCGACTTCCTCCACGGCGGCAACGAATTCGTCGAGCGGCCGGTCTGCGCGCCGGAGCAGCTGCCGCAGCGCCCGGTGCTTGTGCTCCTCCATGGGGCGAAGGCCGCGGTTGCCCTGGTGGAAGGGGCCCAGCGACACCACCTGCGGCTGGTACGCCTTGCTTTGGTGTTGGTCACGCAGGGCGGCTCTTGGTAGATGCAATGGCGCTCCCACCGCGACAACCGCGGCCTGTCGGCTTCCTTGAGTTTTTCTCCACGTCATCTTGGTTCTGTCGCCGGCTGCCACCATTCAGATTGATTGATTTATGTAAGATATATGGTTGCTGTAGCTAGGATAGTACTCCAGATAGTACTGATTTTTCTTTGAGCAACAGTCAGATAGTATGATCTGTGCATGTGCATGCATGTGGAGTGGAGTTGTGGATGCGGATGCCGATGCAGGGGAGGGCTATGTACTCCCTCCATTTCTTTTTAGTTCGCATATAAGATTTGGTCAAAGTCAAACTTTATAAAGTTTGACAAACTTTGAAGAAAAAATATCAACATTTACAATAATAAAGCTATATGGTATGAAAGTTAATTTCATGATGCATCTAACAATGTTGATTTCATATTGTGAATCTTAATATTATTTTCTATAAATTTAGTCAAAGTTGACAAAGTTTGACTTTGATCAAATCTTATATGCGGACTAAAAAAAACGGAGAGAGTACGTAGAGAGATACTTTACCTGCAAAAGTTGCATTGTATGCCACATTGCGCGTGTTGGACAGGTGCGTATGTCCAAAAGAGGTTCTCATGTCATCTGCATGCACGCATGCTGATCCTATTCCTTGTCTCCTCGTTTCACTCCATGGTAACACGCATACAGTGTAGTAGTGCCAACACAAGATGGCAAAACGGTTTAGGAGCCGAAGATGGATATATATACAGTGTGGTAGTTTTGCTGAATGTCAGGTGTCTGCGTCAGACGAAAAGAAAGGATTGCATGCATCGATAATTCATTGATCATGTGCATGATGCATATATATAGGTACATGATGGAGAGAGGAGATACAACGGTACAAATATACAAATATACAAAGGGAAGAGAGGAGATACGACGGTATAAATACAAAGATCTAGTCCTATACATGTACAGAAGATAACGTACGTTCAACACCCTCCCCCCTCCCCTACGGTCGAAGCGTCGCCGAAGGCGCAGGCACTGGACGGAAACTCCTCAAAGACAAAAGTCGGTAGCCCTTTTGTCATAACATCGGCGAACTGTTGAGTGGTAGGCACATGAAGAACCCGAAAATGCCCAAGTGCGGCCTGTTCTCGAATGAAGTGAATGTCAAACTCAATGTGCTTCGTTCGGTGATGATGAACAGGATTAGCGGAGAGGTAGACGGCAGAGACGTTATCACAGTAGACGATCGTGGCCTTGTGAATCTCACAAAGCAGCTCATGAAGTAACTGGCGGAGCCAAGAGCACGCCGCAACAACATTAGCCACGACGTGATCCTCCTCCTGCTCGACCTCATCCATGTAGGCAAACAACTTTGCCTCCTCCGCGGCCTCTTACGCCTCCATCTTCTGCCGGCGACGGGGTCTTGCCTCTGCAGCCGACTCCGACGGGAGGGAATCGAGGATGGTCTGCTACTCCGCTTGCAGATCCCCGTCGCCAGCGTCCCCCACATCCTCCTCCTCGGGCTCACACCCCCCCTTCCTGAAAGTACTCCTCCACCACCTCCTCCTCCCCCTCCAACTCGAACTCCTCCTCCAGATCGACTGCATCCGGAGGTAGCCCTGCAGCGATTCGGGCTTCGCGCCTAGCCCGGATCTTCTCAAGGAGCTCGAGCCGACGCTCCGGCGTCAGAAATGGCTCGCTCCTCACCCGGCGGCGTGGGGCATATGGCTACTTGGCGGACGGGTGGAGTGGAAAGTGGTGGCGACGGACAGAAGGAGGAAAATGTGGATGGATGGTAGGGTTTCGGTGCCGCCGGTCGACTTAAATAACCGGGCAATGCACTATGCGGCTCGTCAGAGCTGCGCCACGCGGCGCCACCGGTCCAACGGAGGGGACAAGCTTCGGACTGCCAGATTTGAGGGT